CTGTCTCCCTCTCTCTCTCACTGCGTCTCTCTCTCTTTCTCTGTCATCCTCTCTCTCCCTGCGGTCCCCGCGTATCTCCGTCTCTCACACTCACCTCCTCCCTCCCTGCGTCTCTCTTTCTCTCTCTCTCTCTCTCTCTCTCTCTCTCTCTCTGCCTCCTTCAATCTTGCCGTTTCTCTTTCTCTCTCTCTCTCTCTGTACCTGGCTCTCTCGTCTTCCACGGCCGCGCGGCGGGCTACTACTACTACTACTACTACTACTACTACTACTACTACTACTACTACTACTACTACTACTACTACTACTACTACTACTACTACTACTACTACTACTACTACTACTACTACTACTACGATACTACTACTACTATACTAACTATACTACTACTACTACTACTACTACTACTACTACTACTACTACTACTACTACTACTACTACTACTACTACTACTACTACTACTACTACTACTACTACTACTACTACTACGCTACATCAATACTCGTAGTACTATTATTAACTAGTCTTGCGACAGCAATGGCCAGTAGGAAACCCGTTTAATGGTAAGTGGGAGGATGACAGTCTCAAAAACTACTACTACTACTATTTCATTTATTTCTACGACTGTGGCAGCAATGGTCAGTAGAAAACCATGTTTAATGAAAGATGGCAGGATGACAGAATCAACAATATACGATGAATGCAGTGGTTAAATAAAGGATGCTTTCGGCAGGTACAATGCTTTGACTTCGTCTTTTGCTCGCTCTTTCCTTTTCTCTCTATGCATGGTTTCCCTGGTTCCTGGTTCTGCTGATGCTGATTCGCTCTTGACTTTTGGCGAACGGGTGCGCGCATCGCCTGCAGCGTCTGCCCGTCACCATCCTCGCTCAGCATCGGATGTCCTTGGTGCGCGACTGCCATTGGGTATGGGTTTACGTTCCGTCGTCTATACCTGAGGTGCTGACAAGTCCTCGTCACTGAGCTCCGTGTAGAATCCCGACGACCTTGACGGACGAGAGGCGGTGAGTGTGACATGATTCACCGCTCCTTTGAGAAGCCGACAGGCTCTCCTCCTCTTCTTCCGCTGAATGAGGAACCTCCGTGTAGAATCCCGACGACCTTGACGAACGAGTCGCGGTGAGTGTGACATGATTCACCGCTCCTTTGAGAAGCCGACAGGCTCTCCTCCTCTTCTTCCGATGAATGAGGAACTTCGTCAGGATCCAACCTCAGTAGGCACCAGGTTTTCGGTTTTGGGTCTTCGGGGGCCGATTCTGCAAATAGCTGAAGTAGGCGAGTTACAGCCACTCGTTGATGAAGAAAACTGGTCTTCGAAACTCGGCGATGGTCTTGGAGCCTGAGTTCTGTCATGTGATGTTTGTTTAGCGGCACTGCATGTTCCGGATATCTGCATTCAGTCAGGTCTCTCGCGCCTGATACTGGTTCCTCGGCGTTGGCTAGCCCAAAGAAACCATGATGCAGGTTGAAATGGTTCTCCCGCATGAGCAGCGTTTTGAGGTTCAGGATCGAGTAGCCGGGTGGAACCTGTGGGACGTGTGTTGAGTACTAGATACGTCTGATGGTCTAGACTCCTAAGCACTGGCCTTGTACCGTTCAACACGACGTCCACTGCTGCAGCAGACGGTGATCCAGATCCATTGTCTCCTAGCAGCGAGATGCTCATTAACAGATGCACTGACTCCCTAGGCTGTCCCTGCCTTCGATGGTTTCAATTGGCAAACTTGCCAAGAATCATGGCTTGCTGGAACCTAATTCTTGCAGTCTTCGGTTGGCAGTTGTGTACTTTCTGTTGACACGGTCTGAGATGCGCTCTAGTGTCGAATTCCACTGCTTTTTAGATGCATGACGTAACTTTCGTCTTAGGCCGAAAGCTGCTGCTCTGGATCTTTCTTCTTCGTTTTTTTGGTGGCAGAGGCCACTTTGACCCGATCCGCGGACTGCCACAGCCAAACTAAGCACGACAACACCAACAATCACAACAGCAAAGACACGCTACCAACACCAGCACCACCACCGGACCAGCACTGCCAACACCAACAGCATCACCACCACCACCACCACCACCACCACCACCACCGCCAGCACCGCCACACCACGACCTATTACGCAAACAGTACATAATATCGAGTAGTGTCTTATGGTATGTTGTACTCTGTTACAATGTGTTTCCTATATCAGCTCACACCACTACCACACCACAACCACAAGCACCACATCACCAGCACCACCACCACCACTACCACCACCACCACCACCACCGACAGAAGACAGATCCCTTTTTTAAGAACCTCACCCCTCGGTTGTCGTTATAAAGGCCGCCCCGCCAGTGACCAGATGCGTAAGTACTTACAAACACGAACCTTACAGCTATGTTCAGACCAACACTAAAACTTGCATACACGAACTTCCTTACGCATCTGGTCGCTTGTCCCGGCCACGAACGCTGGGGGTTCAAGCATTAAAAACCGACGTTCAAGCATTAAAAACCGACCCTAAAACCAAAAAAACATCAAGAACTGTAATCACCAACAAACAAAAATGCCAATACCTGAACCCCCCAGAAGGGGGGGCAACGCTTAGGTCGCCCCCCCTCCCGCTCGCCCACATCAGCCTGCCGCCTCTCATCGGTCGCCTGGCAAAGGGCTTCTCTCTCTCTCTCTCTCTCTACCTCTCTCCCACGAACCCCACACGGCGCTTCTTACGGCGGCGGAGCCTCGCCTGGCTGTCTCTCTCAGTCTCTCTCTCTCTCTCTCTCTCCGTCTCTCCCTCTCTGTATCCCTCATTCCCTGCTCTCCAAGCTGCACCTCGCCCACCTCGGCACCAGGCGCAGCTGCCTCAGAGTTGCTCGCTCTCTCACTCTCACTCTCTCTCTCTCTCCCTCTATCCCTCTCCGTATCCCTCACTCCCCAGGATGGTAGAATTGTAGGATGGTAGAATTGTAGAATTGTAAAATAAAAAAAGAAACAGAAGACCACGCACGGTGTAAAACGCAAGGGTTTAGCAAACCCCCTATTTAACTCTAATTTAGGGTTTAGCAAACCCTAGGGTTTAGCAAGCCCCCATTCAGGGTTAATTAACCTAGGGTTTAGTAAGCAGGGTTTATTAAACTCTAATTTAGGGTTTAGCAAACCCCCAATTAGGGTTTATTAAACCCTAATTCAAGGTTTAGCAAACCCTAGGGTTTAGCAAACCCCCGGGACCAAAACCTACAATTGAGGACCCGGAGCCGCAACTGAAGGACCCGGAGCTTAAAATTGAGGAGCGCACCAAGACCGGACCTACAATTAAGGACCCGGAGCCTAAAATTAAGGGCCCGAAGCTCAAAATTAAGGGCCAGGACCGACAATTCAGGACCCGGAAACCCCCAAAGCCCCCAAGAACCCAACACCCGATCCAAAAACCTAGAACCCTAGCAAAAAAAACTCAAACAAAACTCAACGAACTCAAAAAAAAAAAAAAAAAAAAAAAAAAAAACACAAAAAAAAACCAAAAAAAAAACATCCGAAAACCCCCCAGTTTAATATTCTCAAAAACGCACCCCGCACACGAAGCAAGCTCAATAAACCCTAAACCCTAAACCCTAAGCCTCGGAATCCTGATTCTGTGACATCCCACGGCCGGCCCATCACTTTCCTGCGGGGCGATGGGCAGCGCCGCATGCAAAGACACGCTGTTGGCCCGAAGCCTTCGCAGAATCTAAGCGGGGCTGGGTTTAGGGTTTAGGGTATAAGGGTCCAAGTAGAATAGTAGAGTTTCAGAGTCCGCAATCCATTCAGAGTATGGATTTTGGGACTTAATAACCCTACTACTTGGTTTGGGTACTTGGACCCTTTGGGTTACCTGTTCGGTGCCTGTGAAGGATCTTTGTGGTTCCGATGAGATCATTCAGCAAAGTTGCATGAGAACAAGCAGAGTAATTAGGAACCTGATTAAGAAACCGAGGGCCTTTATTAGGGTTCCTGATTATGAATCCTACTATGTTGGGGGTTATAAGACCAGGGTTTCTTAACCAGGTTCCTACCTTAATAGCGATTACCATCCCCAATATGATGCCCTACAACCTAAAACCCACACCGGCAAAGTCTCACTATTCAGACATGTAAAAGCCAGCCTCTAGGTGTTGCAGCGGTGAGTTTTATGTAACACCAAAACACTCACAGCCCTTCCTATCGACCGATGCACTTTCTACATCCGAAAATCGAGAGTCTAGACCCTCTACCCCCAGCCCCCTGAACCTTAGACTTCACCGTAAAATCCCACACCCCTGAACGCCCAAACCTACATGAGACCTGAACACCCATAATCAATACAAACTCAAAGCCAATAACCTCATTGGGTTAATTTGGTTATGAGAATAGGATCCTTGGGTATAAGAAACCATAGCTAGAAGAAGAGACTCCAAGCAGTATGACTAGATTTTCTGGCCCATATCTTGCGCGCCCTTAGAGCCAACATGTCTGCAACAACCAAACATGCTTTGGAACAATGTCAGGAATCTTGTTTTACCCAAGTAAAAGATTATTCCTAAGACCACTAACCCAGAGGGTCCAAGTCGCTATTTTGTGGGGTTTTAGGTCCCAACATCCATACTCTGAATGGTTTCTGAACTCCGAAACCCTACTATTTCGGTACTTGGGCCATTAGGGTACAGTATAGTACGTGCCGACACGGCCTGTGGGCACCGTGCTCAAAGCGATCCTCTTCGAGGGTAACGTGCCTCTGCTCCTCCACAGCACCCGAGGATGTGTTCGCCGGCTTGGGGGTTTAGGGCTTCGGCGTAGGACTAGGATGAGTTCCGGATTTCGGACACTTCAATATTTAGATGAAACCACTCAGAGATACCTAAAGGTCTTTCTACACCCTAAACCCCCAAACCCCTAAACTCTAGACCGTGCCCTAGAGATACCTCAAGGTGTCTCTACGTGCTTCCATGCTTATCTGCTGCTGTGATTCTGCTCGAATGTTGATGGGTTCTGCGAGAGCGACCACAGAAAACCAAGAGCGCTGCCTCCTCCACGTACGCCTGGAGAAAGTCTGACAACCTCGCGTGGGTTATCTTTGATTCCTATCATAATGATGACGAGTTATACAAGACGTCTTTCCCCAAGCAAGAGCTTCTTTCTTGGTGCATTTATGTTTTAAGTCCGCTTTCTGGTTTGATGCTTGGGAGTCGAGATTTCTCGGATCTTTCGGGCTGCGATTTCTGAGTTTTCCGAAGTGCGGCTCAGGATTTAGGATTTAGGGTTTAGGGTTTAGGGTTTTGGGGTTTAGGGTTTAGGGTTTAGGGTTTAGGGCGCAGAGGGGGGGTCGGGACTGGCTACTTGTTGGACTGATCGTTCCAAGCCACGTCTGGCTGACTTCGTCGGCCACACCGTCCAGTCGGTAACCCACCGGGCACATCATCTGTATGAACTCCGCCTGATCTATGACCTGAGCAGGCTACACGCTTTACAAGGGAGCTGGAGGGCTTAGAAGATACACACTGCAGAGGAGAAAGGTCCATGCCATTCTTTCAGCCTGAATGTATTACAATATGGGAGTTTCCGAAAATAGGGGACCCTAACATGATACCCTAAATAATAGGATCCTTATTATAAGCACCTCCGAAGTAGGGGTCCCCGATTTTCGGAAACTCTCAAGTACGTGTGCGGTGGAAAAAGCAGCTACAAACTGAAGATCCTAAACCCTAAACTCTACACCCTGAACCCTAAACCCTAAACCCTGAACCCTAAACTCTACACCCTGAACCCTGAACCCTAAACCCTGAACCCTAAACCCTAAACCCCGAACCCTAAACCCTAAACCCCGAACCCTAAACCCTAAACCCCGAACCCTAAACCCTGAACCCTGAACCATAGGAGCGCTGCCATGCACATAAAGCAACTACACGGTGAAACAGTATAGCCCGCCTCAAGAAACACTAGCAACCCAATGCCTAAACCACAACAGGACTGCAACCACCTTGGGCACTGAAGCACTTTGAAGTCGTCGGTGTTTGCATCGACACAAATTCCACAACCAAGCCACCAACATGGAGGCTTCTATCCATGGTGAAGTCTACACCCACTACAACTTGACGACATCCCAAACCAAAAATCTTGCAACGCCCAAACCTAAAAGTAGCCCCAAACTCCTACACACTAAACCACTCGCCCTCAAAGCCCCGACTGGACCCAAAGACAGACCCCAGCAATTCTCACCCGGAGGCCTAGGGCGGTCTCACCAATGTTGCGTTCCCTGCATATGTATCTTATATATAATTACATGTATCTTTACGTGTATATATATATATATATACACATTATAATGGTACAATCATATGTAAATAAATCTATATATATATATATATATATACATATCTCTTAAAGTGTATATACACACATGCATATACGCACGCTTGTGCATATTAGGCGACAATATACTTGCACCGAAACCGCGGGTCTGACTACTGAGGCCACATCTGGGATCCCAGAAAGTTAGGAAGATACTGGGCAGCTTTTCTGAGGAACCTAAGACTACAAAAAACTCCTAAACGAAGGCAGAGTGGAAAATAAAGACGTCAAGCAACCATCACTACTACTATATTGCTAGATTACCAGTACTATCACTATAACTATTACCATTACAATTAAGACTACTCTTATTGCTAGAAATTTTTACGATCTTGATATTTTTATGTGTATACAAAGTAAGAAAATGTAATGAATAGTATACAATATAGCCAGGGGACGCCATCTCCCGACACGTCGAAGGAGCGGACCATGGAGAGGGTCACACCCTCATCTTGCCGAGCCCTAGGGCTTGGGGGGTTTAGGGCTTCAGGGGTTGAGGGGTTTAGGCTTTAGGGTTTGGGGGTTTAGGCTTCGGTTTAGGGTTGAGGGTTTCGAGTTTCAGATGTGAGGATGCTCGAAGGGATTCCAAACGTGTTGCTTCAAGGTTGTTTCGGTTTCGGGATGCCATACAGGTTCCTTACGGGCTTTCATAGGGGTTTCGTAAAGTACCAGGGTTCTATAACGGCCCCAAGATTCGAGAGTCGTAGCGCTTTTGGCTATCGTCTACTTGATGGCTCAAGAAGCCAAACTTAGGTTGTCCTAATTACACACCGGCCGTAACCCCAAAAGCCTACCTTCTGAAGGACTTTATGTAGGGGAATGCAACAAGGAGAGTCCTGGTGCTGGATGGTTTAGCGCCAGGTGCCCCCGAAAGGTAGAGCTTATACAACTATTGGGCCCTCAGGTACCTGTAGCCTACTTCCTAACTCCCACTGAGATGCGAACTAGGCTTTAAGGATAAGGCCCCCGGAGCCTGGCACATGCTCAGAGTGCTCGTTTCTTTCTAAAGGGAGAGGGTATCAGTTCAAAAAGCTTTAATGGCTTAGCGGTTGGGTTTCTGCTTGTTTTGGGTTTAGGGTTTAGGGTTCGGCACTCTTTATTTCGGGGTGCTGGACCTTAGGAGACCTCTTGGAGCCCCTTCGGAGAATGGACAGTTCAGGGCAAGGTTCAGGGTTTTGGGTTTAGGGTTTTGGGTTTAGGGTTTTGGGGCTTTAGGGTTCAGGGTTTTGGGTTTAGGGTTTTGGGTTTAGGGTTTTCAGATCTAATTTGGGGCCTCGGGTTCAGGGCATGGGGGTTTAGGCCCTGGGGGCGAACCCGGAACCCTCAACTCCGATTCCATGGCCCTCATTTCCTTTAGAGCCTATGCTTCAAGAGCTATAGATCTGGTTACAGTAAATCCGTAGTCTACAGATTTAGGCTTTGGGGTTTTGGGATTTTGGCGTTTGGGTTAAGGGTTGTCACGGTTCAAACCTTGCGGGCATGCTGTAATGTTGCCCTGGCAATTCGACACTAAAGGAACCCCCCAACCCTAAACCCGAGCCCGAGACCTGGAAAGGATTTAGGGTTTAGGGTTTAGTCTTTAGGGCCTGGGGTTTAGTCTTTAGGCTTCAGGGTTTAGGCTTTAGGGTTTAGGCCCTGGTGTATAGGGTTTAGGCTTTAGGGTTTAGCCTTTAGGCAATCTCTCGTTCAACCCGTATCCTGCAGTCTAATTACAAAAGACTGTCCCACAGACTGACACACATAACCTAGAACCAGATCTAGTCTAGATCTACTCTGGATCGAGAACTGTATCTGTATCTATACATATATATATATATATATATATATATATATATATACATACACAAATAATATATATATATATATATAAGCAAATACATACATGCATGCATACATACATACATACATACATACATACATACATACAAACACACACACACAGATATATATATATATATATATATATATATATATATTTGTACTTACATAGACGTTCGTACGCGTATTTGTATAATCAGGGCTGAAGCATTGCACCAAACCCCCGAAAGCTTAGACTACCTTGAGGTCAGGCAAGGGTCTGAATCGTGCGTTCCAGCTCTGCAACCTCAATGTACCCACGATGCTGCATATCCAGCCGCTCGAAATCCTGAGGAAGGCAGGGTCTAGGGTTTAAGACTTATGGGCTTTGGGTTTTGGGATAGGCGCCAGGTTTGTGTGTGGAAAGAAAGGGTGCGCTATAAGAGTGTCACGATCATTCATGTAGAAACCTGAGTTCCCTCGGGTTCCTGCGTTCTACCCCAAAAACCCGGAGTGATTCAGGCTCGGCTGAGGGTTGTGGGGTATCACCAACCCTGAACCCTAAGGAGGGCATCTGCTAGCATCCACCAAGCATCAAGGTTTGGGGTTGAAGGCTCACAGAGGCTTGGGGTTTCGGGCACTGGCCTCCCTAGCTCCCTCTGCCTCTGCCTCTCTCTCTGTCTCGCTCTCTTTCGCTCTCTCTCTCTCTCTCTCTCTCTCTCTCTCTCTCTCTCTCTCTCTCTCTCTATCACTCCCTCTCTCTCTACCTCTCTACCTCTACCTCTCTCTCTCTCTCTCTGCTCTCTCGCCCTCTTTCGCTCGCTCTCTTGAATGTTTGCCTGACATTCCTTAGTCACAGCCTGCCCTTCAGAAAAGACGTCCGTCCTTGATGATGTTCTCCATCTCCGCCTGGGGGATCACCGGCTGGTTGCTGTAGACCTTGCGGGCTTAGCGCCTTCCGCAGTTTCTGGTAAGGTCAGGTTCTAGGGTTGTTGAGGGTTTAGCGGGGTTTACGGTTGATGATATAAATCCTGCATTACCCATAATAAGAAATACACCATTATTCCCATAGTTCAGTGTCCTTAAGGTAATGCAGGATTTAAAGGGGAGTTTCCGAAAATAGGGGCCCCAAATATAGTACCCCAAACAGTAGGATCCCTATAATAAGGACCGGTACCCCCAATTTTGGGAAACTCCCATATCATCCACCGTAGGGTTTAGAGGCTCAGGGTGTAGGCAGCCGAAACCCGAAGGCGTCACATGCCGACGCCGGAAACCACCAGGCTCCTGCACTGCAAGCCCCACAAGCCCGACTTGAAACACCCTCCTCATATAAGTAAGTATGTATGTATATATATATATATATATTCGTATGTATCTATATATATATATATATATATATATATATATATATACATGTATATGTATGTGTATATATATATATATATATATATATTATATTCCTATATATAGACACCTCCACCTCCCCATATCTATATCCATAAATAAATCCAGAAGCCTGCAGACGTACTAACCTTCTCGGTACACTTCCGGCAGAGACATGCCTCCAAACCCTGGGCTAGCTATGAGGGCCTCTAGTCTTGGCCCCACGTAGGACCCAAGCCCTGAATCCATAACCGTAACTCCCGAATTCCGAAACCCTAAACTCCGAGACCCCTAAACTTAAACCGTAATCCTAAACCCTAAACCCTAAACCCTTAAACTCTTCCAAGCCGACCTTCATGCATCGCTGGAAGTCAGCCAAGGCGTTCTTGTCCTCTGCTGCTACGGTTTTCCAGGCTTAAGGGCTCAGGGTTTAGGGTTAGGCTTTTGGGTTTAAGGTTTCCGGGGTCTGGGATTGAAGGTTCAGGGTTTAATACCTAGGGTTTGGGGTTTTGGGTTTGAGGTTTATACGGCTTGGGATTTAGAATGGCCTCGAGGGCTATGGTGCAGAAGGCTTGTAGAACCTTAGGATTCAAAGATTTCGTCTAGGATTAGGGCTTCGGGGCGGGTGGGTGGGGAGGTCTGATGGCCGCCTACAGCCTGGTCTTCGTCATGCGGGCTACGACCAAGGACCCTATTCTATAGTGGTCAAGGCCCCCCGTATAATGATTGAAGCATGATCTGCCCTTCAACCGGCATTCTTGCAAGAATGCGTACAAGTCCCACCCTGAACGCCTACACCCCGAACCCCGACTCCTAACCCTAAACCCCAAACGAGCAATACAGCTCGGAAATCAAAGGCACCGAGCGCAGCTGCGCTTTCTTGCTCTGCAGATCGTCGTACTGTTGACACCACCTGCTGGGATTTAGGATTTCCCATGGTGTATGTGTTTTCTTTTGGGGCGGCGGTTCAGAGTTCAGGGTCTCAGAGGAATTACAGTGCCGGCTCAGGTTCAGGTTCTTCGGTTAGGGATTTAGAGTGCTTCCCTACACACGCAACTAATGATGGGTGACGGTGCAGGACAAGAATCACTGGAAGACACAGTTGCCAAACCCATACAAACACCGACACTCATGGTGCTGAAACCTGTGGTACCCAAAACATCAAGCAATGATTTACAGCTCGTAAGACATAGTGTAGCTCAACACATCTGCCTACGAAGATGTATCAAAGAAGATACTCCCAACTCAGACAATTTGAAAATGATTCGTGCCAACCACGGACTATTCAAAAAGTATGAGAATCCCGCACATCAAGCTCGCGAAACCTTATACATTCCCTCCACCCGAGTTAACTCCAAACCCGAAAGCCAAGAAGCCTGCAACAAAACCCAGACTGTAATCCCCTAAACCCATCGCCAAACATGGCCTGTCGAACATCCGCAGATGCTTGGGCATGGCCCAGGGATACAGCAGCTTCAGGAAGCGCATGAACCTCTGTGCGGCCCCTGACCCCTTAATTGGTTTAAACCCGTATACCGAAACCCTAAACCCTAAAACCTGAACAGTAAACCGTGTACCCTGAACCCAAAACCCTAAACCGTGTACCCTGAACCCTAAACCATGTACTCTGAACCCTAGTCCAGGCAGAAGGTTTGCCAAACATCTGCACGCCAGCTTCCTAAATGCATCGAAGCCGTCAAATCAAACCACAGAGCAACCCAAACGGTCTTCAACTCATGATCTCCTACCCGAAGACCCGGGGGTTTAGGGTTTAGGGGTTTAGGGTTTAGGGTTTAGGACCCACCAGAGCCAAAGAGACCTGTCTGGCATGGTCTGTGGCAATAGGGAGCCTTGAAGTAAAACTCTCTGTCGAGGCTATCCAGCAGCCACTTAGTAGCAAGGGTACCCTTTTCCCACTATATATTCAGATTTAATCAGGAGACACCCCAACATGAAATGGCCACAGGGTACTGCTGGGAGACCTAGTCGTAGAGCCTCAAGATCAATGAATAGGACGAATATGACGTCATCTCAGACACTGACCCATCAAATCGGATAGTGGATAGTGCAAACTAATCCCCTGAGCGTTACACCGGACGCGCTCACCCCTGCACTCTTAACCTTATAAGTCCTCCCTAAACCCTCAAGCCTGCACCTTAAACCAGAACCCTACATCCCAAAAACTCTAAACCCTAAACCCCTAAACCTCATATAAACCCCTAAACCTCATATAAACCCCTAAACTCCTAAACCTCATATAAACCCCTAAACTCCTAAACCTTATATCCCAACACAAGAAACCCTAGACCCTTCGAGAGGCAGGCGAGGAGCGATGGCTTCCGCGTCTTGCTTCGGATGTCTTCAGCTTGGACACATGCCTGAACCCAGAGACTCCAATATCCCTTAATTAAGGAATATTCCTTAAATCATATTAGGGACCCTACTATAATTTAAGGAATATTCCTTAATTAAGGGATATTGGAGTCTCTGGGAAGTTCGGCTTCACGGGTCTACCCTAAGGCCCCAAAGTAGTTCCTTTTTGGGGTTCATATATAGAATCCTATAAGGTAATCCCAAAAAGGAACTACTTTGGGGCCTCTGGGTAAGAGGGGGTTCAGTGGGGTTGTTTGGCTTCGTGGTGGATTTAGGTGGGTTTTAAGGAGCTTTTATTAACGTCGCAGGGGTGCTTCTTCGTCAAGTAAGTAGCCTGGAACCTTTCGAATCTGGGTCTGTCATCCAAATCAGGGGATTGTGTTTCGGCTTGTAGGGTTCAAGGTTTAGGGTGCAAAGTGAGTCGAAGTGCCCAAACACGATGCAAAGCCTACATGTACTGCTGACACCGCTTCGAGCAACTTCCTTCTGGAATGCAGGACAGGAGCTCCACATTGCGGTATGAGTATGTCCAGTCTAGGGAGTCTAGGGGTACCTTGTTCAGGTGCCCTCACAACAAAATACTGATACGCAGTTCTCTTGTTTAGGGTCCCTTCGATTTCGTCCCCAACATGGTACGGCATGCTTACAAAAAGGACCCCCCCCAAAAGGACGCTAATTTACACAACTAAACCCTAAACCCTAAACCCTAAACCCTAAAGTATACCCATATTCTGCTCTGCATCCATCGGGGCTCCGCAGTTCCTGAAGCTTCGATATCCGCTCTGCGCGAATTCTGTGGGACTCCGGGATGTCGAAGCTCTGGTGTCATACAAGCGACACCCTAAACCCTAAACCCTGAAGCCTCGAACTCTAAACCCTAAGCCCTAAACCCTAAACCCTAAACCCTAAGCCCTAAACCCTGAAGCCTCAAACTCTGAACCCTTACACCCTAGGCCCTAAAGCCCCGAACCCCCTCGTCATTTATTTTGACAAACCTGACCCTCTGTCACAGGATGGAATCTTAACTAAAAATAGGCCCACACCCGGGACACGTTCCTGAAGTGGAATTGGAACCTCCTTCTCCTCATGTCCTTGACTCCTTGACGGAAACTTGGGGGATCCCTGTACCAATCATCACACGCGGTATACCGCCTGTAAGATTAGGGTTTAGGGCCTATTTTATGAAGCCTTCACCTCAAGAGCTTTGTGTAGACTAGGGGCAGCTTGCAGCTTCACGGCAAACTCGACATCAGTGTGTCCAGCGCGGGACATTTCTGCATCCAGCTCCTCGGGCGTGAGCAAGAAGAAGCCCCGCTGCGAGGCGAAAGTGTAGACATACCTGGAGACAGAGGGCATGCGTCTTCCCTTAAGCCCTGAACTCTATACCCATAGTCTCCATAATAGTTCCTTTTTGGGCTTCATATTTAGAATCCTATAAGGTAAACCACAAAAATGATTACTATGGAGCCTATATGGGTAATTCCGAAGAAATGACCCCAAACCGTAAACCCAAACCCTATACTTAAGGGACCTTCAGTCGGAGAGCGTGGAAAGCCAAAACATCGAGGTGAGATGTTCAGGGTCCACGAGGACTAGACCCTAACCTAGGATTACAAAGGGCGCTATAAGGGTTCCTTTAAGGGATCTACGGGGGTTAAGGGTTTAGGGACCCAAGAGTAATCTAGGAAGAAAAAGGTGCCCAGGGAACCTGAACACTACAAAAACGGAATAAGGGCCTACTCCAGGTCCTAGAGGAATATATGGGTGGTTTAAGGGGCAAGTTCACGATGCCCCGAAACCTGAAATGTTTACACCCAACTGCTGCAACCCTCAAACCATCAAACCCTAAACCGTAAACCCTAAAACCCCCAGGCCCAAACCCTAAACCGTACACCCTGAACCCTACAAACCTGCAAACCCTAAAGCCCTAGATCCTTAACCCTAAATCTTTACAAACCCTAAAACCTTACAAAGCTCCAAACCCTAAACACCCTCAAAACCCTATATACTTGCAACACCGCAAACCTAAACCAGGCCTGCATGCGATCACATCTGCCCTTGTGGGCATGTGCTGCGCAGCTTCGGTCTCATGGTCATCCTCAGGAGGGCTTAGGGTTGAGGGCTTGCGGCTTAGGGTTTAGGATTTAGGGCTTACTGTTTAGGGTTTAGTGCTTAGGGTTTGGGGTTTAGGGCTTAGGCTGAGGGCTACTGTGTTTGTTTTGGATGGGCTTAATGGAAGGCTGCTCCGGTGTTCAGATGCATGTGTATGCAAATGTATGTGTTTACATGTTGCTTTATGTTCATTTAATTATACTTACATTTGCATGGACTAAGATGAGATGTGTTCCTTGCTTCCTCAACCCTGAACCCTAAACCAGAAAGGTCTAAGCCCTAAAAACCCTAAAACACGGAACGGGGGGTGGCGATTCAGGGTTTACGCCCTCCTCTTCTTTTAGCGTCCGTACAATAAGGATTCTACACAGTCGAGCTAGGCCAAGCCCCAAACCCTAATGCCGAAACTGGAAATCTGAAGATTAAACACCGCAAAGCCCGCACCTTTTGTCCATGGCATCGGAGCTTTCTAAGTACTCGCTGCGTACGTGATGCTGCCAAACTCATTTGTTTACATAGTTGCTCGCAGGAAAATTGGAAGGCACGACATATGTTGAATCGTCCTGTTGCCGCTCGATAAGCAACCCAATGTGCAGCAGAACACCGTGCTTGAAGTCGAGCATTCTTGCGATTGTGCATTGCCGACGTGTCTAGGCACATCCTTAACCCTTAACCACAGACTCAACTCCCTGAGCCTTCAACCCAAAGCCCTAATCCTGAACCCCCAACAGCAACTGGAAGTCCTCCACCGACATGGATGCTGGCATTGTGTGGCTAAGTCGGAAGGTCTTGGCGTCGTCGACCTTCCGCTCTTCTTCTGGAAGGGGGCTTCTGGGGGAATTTCACTGGTAGACCAATGCCGATACGGAGCCGCTTTGCCATAGTCCGCGCAGTCACGATGCGTAGCAGCCACTCCACGCCAAACCCCAAACCATAAACCCGAAACCCCATACCGTAAACCCCAAACCCTAGAACCCAAACCGTAAACCCCAAACCCTAAACTCCGAAACACCCTAAATCCTAAACTCCTCACCAAACCCTAGATCCCAAACGCGACACCCATGAACCCTAAGCCACCTCGAAGTTCTCGGGGTTGTCATCTGCAGAGGATTCGCGAGGACAGAAGCGCTCCACGGCCAAGGCATATGGAATGGCCAAAGGGTCCTAGCAGGGAAGGGTTTCCTTTTCGGGTTTACCTGGACCCCAAAGTATGTAGAATATCACTATCCCTGTATAGGTCTAGGCCCATTGTTCTACCTGCTGTTAGGTAGGGCTTCAGGGTCCATGTGCGCTAGTATATTCTGGAAGTAGAATGAACAGTCTTTTTGGGTGGGGGGAGTTCGGTCCCTGTGTCTTGAGAAGGTGGTAGCACGACTAAGGCACTCCCCAATAACCTAGTGTCGACGAGTACTTTCGGGACTGCGGATTGCCAAAAAAGTCGACTTTAAAGAAGGCCTGCGGAATGTAACAGTAAGACAATTACCCGAAACATTAAACACTCTTTGCCAAGAGCCGGTTTTGAATACTTGCAAGAAGGCCTTTTCATTTTATAGGGAAGGGACTGAAGGTTTATGATTCAGGGTTCCTGGTGCTGTTGCATTGGAAATGTGGCGGTTTAGGTTGTGCTTTTCAGGGTCAGTCAGAGTTGCGACAACTCTGCAGGAATGTAAATTTACAGGAACTCATTGCAACAAAATACCCATTGAATGTAACGGGTGCACCGTGGAGGTTCTCTTAAATACCACAACCCTAAGCCAGAGCCTTCAACCCCGATCCTTAAGCCTTGAACCCTAGGGCCATAGCCCCTAGAACCCACGAGCCTTTAGCCCAGTCCCATGATAAGCAAAGCATACACCATGAGTCTGAAACCATAACTCTTAAATTCGAAACCCATAAAAATCTTAAACCCATGAGTCTTCAACAAGTCCGATGAGCCTGATACACTAAATTGCACATGCCTGCACCACACGGAAGCACCAGTCGAGGAGTACAGCGAAGGGCAGCCGCTGCTCAACCTTTGCTGTGTTTAAAACCCCTCCTCGAACATAAGCTTTTCGCCTGCCCTTGTATTCTCCCTGAACCCTCAACCCTGAGCTATATACCCTAAATCCTACACCCTTGTCTTTCTTGAAGAAACTCAAGAAGTTACAGTCTAAACCCAGCAGAGGGCCAAGCAACGTTGCCTGGGATTTTGGCCCCAGCGTCGCCGTTCCTCTGGGCATGGGCAGTGGCAGACCTGGGAAAATACCGTTAACCTGGGTGAGATTCTTTCGGGTTGAAGGAAGTTGGTCTTCTACTCTTTTGTGGGTCTTTGCAGTGTCTTATAGAGTTGGGTAGGGTTTCTCGGTGCTGTTTTGGTGTTTCTTTAGGTGTTGTTTAAGGTTTTGTAGTTTTGGGTTTGGAGTCTTTGTTGAAGGGCTGGGAAGCTTTGGATCTCTGCCGTAAGCCTTGAACAAGGGAACCCGCCTTTGCAGTAACGTAGAGGATTTAATAGTTATAATAGGGTTTTGGGGCATCTTATACTATAACAAATTAATAAGGAACCCCAGAATAGTATAGCTTGTTATTATTGGGGTCTTTTTGGATTACAGAGGAGGGTTTTATTGACCAGGCGTCTCCCTCAAAGTTGACATCAGCCCTAAACCCTGAACCCTTGCTGACAACTAGAGGCGACCTTCCGACTTGAGCACGTCTCCACAAAACCAACCTGCCTGCTCTACGGACTAAACCACTCAAGCCCAAGACCCGCAACCCTCCCCCTCCTCCCAACCCTGCATCATGCACCCACAAAACGACAACCACACTAAAGACATCGAGGCAGTGGCGACTGTCGAGCTTTGATGGCTGCCAACACAGCGGCCCTGACAAGACTTTCACGTGGGTTGGGGCTTGATGTAGCAGCTATAGTGCACTTGCTTACCCATAGGCTCTGGTCCATAGTAGTTCGTTTTTGGGATTACCTTATGGGATTCTAAATATGAACCCCCGAAAGGAACTACTATGGAGCCTCTGGGTAGTGCACTTGCTTGGAGACGCTCAACGCGCTGCCTCTCGATCTGGGTTGATTGCAGCCTCAAGGATTCTCGGGACTCGCGCGCTCTGCACATTTTGGACTTCGGGCCAGAGACTCCAAGTATCCCTTTATTAAGGAATATTCCTTAAGTTATAGTAGGATCCCTAATATGATTTAAGGAATATATATTCCTTAATTAAGGGATATTGGAGTTTTGGGGGGAATTCTGGCTGAAACCCTTGGAAGCGCTTCGCCGCATGTACCTGGACCCCGAAAGTACGTAGAGTTATGGCCTTGTCTAGGTCTGGGACCATGATTCTACCTACTCTTAGGGGTTCAGGTGCTGTTTAGGGCTTATAGGGTTTAGGGTTTAGGGGTTTAGGGGTTTAGGGTTTAGGGTTTAGGGGTTTAGGGGTTTAGCGTTTAGGGTTTAGGGTTTAGGGTTTTAGTTCTTAAGGTTCACGGCTCAGGCCGAGGGTCCGGTCTTCACAGCTTTGAAGCGTTTAAGGTTTAGGGTTTTTGGGCTAAGGGTTAGAGGGTTTACGGGTTTAGGGTTTGGGCGTTTAGTATTTTGGGAAGACGGGTTATGGGGATCTGTATAAAGGTAAAAGTCATAGGAGGTAGAAGTCATAGGAGGTACATGCGGAACCCAAGCCCCTCTGTATCAAACTCACAAATCCACAGTGCCCCTATCACCCCATGACGCAGCCGTTCTCGAAAAGAGAGATCCTGTACCCACAGCCCACTACAGAGGCCTGAACAATCAGACCGGGGTGTTGGTGGTATCTCTACTCTCACTCCACCAGGAAACCCCGCGGAAGACTACTACTCATTATTCTTTGACTGAAACCCTACACCTCTAGACCAAAATCCCCATCCACACGCTCTACTCTCACTCCACCAGGAAACCCCGCGGAAGACTACTACTCATTATTCTTTGACTGAAACCCTACACCTCTAGACCAATTATTCTTTGACTGAAACCCTACACCTCTAGACCAAAATCCCCATCCACACGCGTGTTTGACCCTGAACCCCAGAACCCCACCTAGATCCGAAACCCTAAACTCCAAATCTTGCAAACTCAACCCCCTAAACCCATACCCTACACCGTAGCCTCTCTGCTTCCGTCTTCAGGGAACTGTGGAGTTTCACGATCCTCCGAGCAGCCCGGGCCGAGATCCTGAGCGCGCATGTCTGTTTGGGATTTGGGTAAGTTTGTGCAGTTGTATTGTTGTTTTCTCAGGGCTGTTTTTTCCGCATTGAGGACGAATTGTTTAGATTTTTATCGAGGACCGAGGGTTTTAGATTTTCGACCCGAGAGATTCTTAAATGATGGGTTCATGATCCCTCCAGCAGGTTCTGTTGCTATCCGGAGAGGCCCATCGAAGGATGAAGGCCAATGGAATTGGTAAATCTTTAGGCCCCGGTATTTAGTGTTCAGGGTATTTCCGGGCCCATGATTCATATTAAGCTTTGGGCTTATGGCTTCATAATACACGAAGTTTCCAAATAGCTCCAAAAAGAGGATCAGCCAGTGCTGACCAAGCGGCTCTCTTGCTTAGGGTTTAGGGTTGGCTCGAAATTTCTTATTCAAGGCGTTTTAGGGTGTGTTTAATTTCTGGAGCTTGAGTTTGGGTGGGTATGGGGGGGTGCAACAAGGGGTGAAATAACATTGGGCAATATCAGGTTCGGCTTGGTTTTTCTCCAAGCTTCGGATTTGGTCAAGCAGCCTGAATATTCAGTAAACATATTCCCGAGGGCCTGAGAGTTCCTTTTCGAACCATACAGTATACCGCAGAAACCTGTTCTAACTATGAAGGCCCCTAGAATATCTTGGTCCTGCTGTAGAGGCGGCCGGCAATGATATTGATTGCCTCCTCCGTCGGGACCTTGGCGAACCTGCACATATCAAGGACACGACAGGTGCTGCATCTCTGTCCACTGTCCAGAGCTTGTCCGGACTGTGAAGTTCACTCTAAAGCCTGTACAAACACCCAAGCCGCGTAGAGCACATCGACGAACACGAGATTGGCACTCCGACTCTGACAAAAAACTTGCAGCTGATGGGGTGCTGAACGTGATAGCTATCGGCTCTACCCTAGCCAGATCCGGCGACATGAAGCTTCCTGTAAATACTCCTATAGGCCTTGATAATTGGAAAAAGGTTTTGCGGTTCACCTCGGTGCGCTTAAAATAACGAACTCGAAGAAACACGACTGGCCCATAAGCTACATTCTGATCCATTACCAACAATTTGTCCGTACCTACTCGTAGTAAGGATATCCGACTCGGAAGTACTCTAGGGCCTTAATACCTAGAATAGGGTTTTGGTGCCCACTATACGATGCTTTTAATAAGGAAACCCCAAAATAGTACTGGCAACTATTTGGGACCTTCTATATTTTGCCTGGGCCGGTGCTCGTCGTCGGAGTTCACCCAGGCGGACGTGTGCCGTCGACTCACGAGCCTTTGCGGCTGTTGATCGAAAGCCCAAACCCTAAACCCCTAAAGCCCTGAGGCCCCCTAAAGCTCCACACCCTACCTCAGTAAGTCCCTAAACCCATAAACCTGAATTACATGTGCCTGAGGAATGTGCCTTGACCTTGGGATTGCAAAAACTGTAGGAGCCTCGCCAAAATTCGGATTTCGTGGTATTTTGGAATCAAGGATCGAGGTTTGGGGCCGTTGCTTGGGGATTTGGTTTGTGATAGTTACGCCAACAGGCTGAACAAAAAAACCGCGACCAAAGCCCAATATCCAACAGCCAAGCACGAAAAAACATCACCACGCTCGACCGCCCAAATACTACAGCCAAAGCCACAGTGAGCTCCAATGGCCGCGGCTTGCGCGGCTGGCTTCAGGCCGGTCGTCGTCCTTCGGGTGCTAGCTGTGGGGTTTCGAGTGCCTCTAAACCCCAAAACCCTATATAAACCCTAAACCCTAAACCCTGGGTACAGGATTTAGCAAGCTCGGGTTTCGGGGTTCAGGGTTTCGGCTTTGAGATCTCGGATTCTAGGTCGATTCAGATTTGAGGTTCGGATTCCACTGAATCGTGGTGGGATTCAGGTCGACGGGGGACTCAGGATTTCGGGTTTAGGGTCTGGGATGCAGACGCTTCAGAGTTATAGATTTCGGATTTTGGCCCAAAGGGTTTGGAGCCAAGCAGTCCAACGTTCCGAGGCCAGGGGATAAGAGTCAGGGGTCCGGGCCCAAGGGAAGCTGAGCACTGCAGAGTATCGCCTTGAAGCGGAGACCTTAACCCAAAATCCGTAACCCTAGGCATCTAAGGACTCATATACTAAGGCTTTTGGGCCCAAAGACCATATTATATAAGGCTTTTGGGCCATTTCGATGCCCAGGGTAGTTGGCAAGTATCCGACAACCGAAGCCATCAATCCGTAGTTACAAAGGGGCCGGTACACGCACAAGAATACAGAACAACAAGACATTTACGGTATAACCCAAAACAATGAAACCCGACACGCCAAGATATTATGTAAACCTAGGTCCTAAGCCCGCAATCCAAGCCCAGGTGGTTTGGCCTGACGAAATCCACCACCGGGTCGGGAAGCACCTCGAGCGCTCCGTGAGGGTGTTAAGGGGTCAAGCTGAGCCAAGGGTTTAATTCTCAGATCAGGAGTCAGTGCGCCAGGATCTCGCAAGCCGTTTCGTAGAGCACCTATGGTCCCTAACAGTGGGTATTTTGGATATAATAGGGGTAGTTGGGAGGTCTGGGTAGGGCTAGAGCTTTTCTTTTAAGGCATGAAATAGCTGCTCCTCGGCTTCGACAAAGAGCGAGTACCGGAGTAACTAACCAAGTTGGAGGGGAAAAGACGATCCGAATTCGTTTTGGCAGTTAGAAAAACCCTAAACCATCCAAACGTGTGGACGACGGGCGAAGGTCTTCGGGTGTTCAAGGCAAGGTGAAGCTAAGGAACGTCTCCAACTTCATCGCCAAGCTTTCGAGGGTTCGGGGTTTAGGATTTAGCATTTGGAGTTTAACGTTCAAGTGGTTTAGGCTTCATGAGCTGTGCAAAACCCAAAGCTTGAACACCGGAGCTCCCAAAGCCGTAAAACTCCATGCAACCTTAGAGGAGCCCATATGGTATCCCATGGTGTCCCTGACGGTAACCCTTATAGCAACCCGTCTAGAACCATCAAAGTAACCCCCAAAGCACATAGCACCGACAAATGGGAAGTGAAGGGGCCTGAGCAATTGGAATAGAGTATTGGGGCATATGGGAGTTTCCTAAAATAGGGGACCATAATATAGTACCGTAAATAGTAGGATCCTTATTATAAGGACCCCCAAAAAGGTACCCCTAATTTTCGCAAACTCGAATATGGTATATTGTAGCAGTCTCAAAGGGTACAATATTCCCAATCACGGTGCATGTCATGCTATAATTACTTACAACAAGGGCTGTAAGGGGCAGACCTTACTAACTTTTTAGGCTTGTATGCTGCCTGCGGATCCAAGCTGCAGCTGTTTAGGCCAAAAGCAGAACAAAGCCCGCGGATGAAGTTGCCCACGAAGGTGCCGAACTGCTTCCTCAAGGTTGGGTGTCCAAGTTTAGTGGTTGCGTCCGGTGCTCTGAGTTCCCTACGCAGGTGATTGTTTTGGAAAATTGGGTGGTGGTCAAAATTATGGTCCCTTGATACGGCACCTAATATTTAAGGTGCACAAAAAGGGACCGTAATTTTGACAACTACTCAATTCTTGCTTTAACCTTATTAGGATCTCAGGCTTGAATCTGCAATTTGCAGGTTTTTGGATGCAAGTTTTTTCTTGCATACTTGTGGCATGTTGTCAGTTCCCCACCGGCCGCCTCGTGACGCAGCATTCCATTCTCAACGGTTAGCCAAGACGACACAACGACAGCTGGCGGGCACCACTGGTGAGCCTGCCATTTGAGAGTTCAATCATACCCTACGATTAGTCAACCCCTAGAAGACCCTTTAAACGCACATGGTATCTTACATTTGGGATCCAAGAGAATCCGAAACATGAGCCCTAATGAAACCCTCAACCCCAAACCCTAATTAAACCGAAACCCTCATTAACCCCCCATCCTCCCCTAAACGTTAAACCCCCAAAACTGAACCGAAGGTTTTCGGACAAGAATTCGCGGATGCAAATCCTGAAGCCCTCACGGCAGGAAGGATCCCTGGCCCTGTACCAGTGAGCTTTAGAGCTTAGAGTTTAGGGTTTTGGATTTCGGGGTTTAGGGTTTAGGGCTCTACACTGGTTTTTGTTGGGGCTCTATATGCATTCTATACCGGCTCTATATAGGTAGTTGTCAAAATTAGGGTCCCTTTTGGGGTCCTTACTAGGCACCTACTATTAAGGGTACGCAAAAAGGGACCCTAATTTTGAGAACTACCCATATGGGCTTGGGGCATGTACCCATCACGCTACCTTTCGTCCCGGATGAAGAAGCTGCAGAACAGAGACAAGAAGCTGGTTGAGGCTTTTCCTTGGAGACATTTTAAGGATTCGGGTTTAGGGTTTAGGGTTTAGGGGCTTTAAGGATTCGGGTTTGGTTGTTTACGGTCTTACGATTTGGGGGTTTCCGAAAATAGGGGACCCTAACACGGTACCCTACATAGTAGGACCCTTATTATTAGGACCCCAAAACAAGGTACCCCCATTTTCGGAAACTCACATTTGGGGGCTTAGGGATTGGGGGTCTGGAAGAGATTGGGGTTTAGTGAGCCGGGCTGGTGGCAGTAGGGCACTTAGCCCACCGTGAACTCGAGACAATCATCCCCACACACTCCGCACTCTACGTTCCAAAGGATTCCTAAAATTCCAAACCCCAAACCCTCAAAACTTCAAACTGCAAACCCTAAACCTGTGCGTGTTTAGAACGAGTTTTAGGCAGGGGGTTTCTGATGTCATGGTCCATGGATCTCTGAAATGTTCAGCCCTTCGGGCTTCACACGCTCTGGGGGACCGCTTAACAGGGTTTACAGGGTTTGGGCCCCTGTACAGACCCTACTACAACCTTTCTGTAACTCTTGAACAGATTGAGAATGTACGGCAAAAGTCAAACTCAAGATGCTTAACATGAATCGCCTTGTGGCTGCACAACTGTCGCCATCGCGCTGTTTTAGGGGCTCCATAGCAGTTCCTTTTTGGGGGTTGATATTTTGATATTTAGAATCCTATAAGGTAATCCCAACAAGGAAATACTATGGAGCCTCTGGGTAATTATCCGATTTCAGTTTTGGAAAGCGTGGCTGCTTTTCTCGAAGTCCTGTACTGCGCTAGCCACGAAATTTGCGGAATCAAAGCGGACGGCAGACAGTTTCAGCATGTCCCTTTGGAAGCACTGAGCTGTCCATAAAGGTTTAGCGTAGGTTTTCACGACTTAGAGGGAAGTAGATGATTGCGGACTACATTACGTTCAACGACTCCGGTGTCGGCAGCTCACAAGCACACTCTTAACTGCAGCTCCAAGCGAGGATAGAGCCGGCAATCCGAAAACCTACAGCCCCGAAGCATTGAACCCGAAACCCTAACCGGTTAAGGTTTAGGGTGAAGGATTTAGGGTGTAGGGTCTAGACGTCGTGCAGAAGCCCCTAAACGCCTTCTTGTGTAAATCCCTGCGTCGATTGTTCACAACATATGGAGGACCTCCAGGAATCAGGGAAGCTCTACCGTAACATGAAAGCCTTAATCATTGGAGTATGGTTCCTTAAAAGGGCTGAAAACCAGTTTGAGAAGCCCAATGTTGAGACCCCAACCCCCGGACCCTATACCCTCGGCATTATACATGTAAACCCTACAAACTTACTTAAAGGTTCCATGGGTAGTTATAAGTAGGGTTACAAGTAGGGTAACTATAACTATAATCCGTATTGGGGGGACTCATGACACCACTTATAACTACCCTACACCCTAAACCCTATAGACCCTTTATTGGAACCCTTAAAGCAACCCTATAACCCCGCTTATCACTACCCATGAACCTCCAAGTACTGACAAGCATCTTGTCTTCCAGGTCGACCAACCCTAAGACCTCAGAGTCGGTTGGGGTTGACGGCTTAGGGTTTAGGATTTGGGGTTTAGGGCTTAGGGTTTAGGGGTTTAGGCTTCAGGGTTTAGGGGTTTAGGCTTTAGGGTAGTGAGGGGTTTAGGGGAGTGAAGGGTATATGGTGTAGGGCTTGGGGTTCTATATTCACTCGATGCAGGTCTTTGACGGGAGTTGCGCTGAGGTCTTGGGATTTGGGTTCGGGGCTTGGGGTATGCTGCGCATGGAGGCTCATAAATACTTTTCGGCAGGGTTGTAAGTAGGGTAACCATAGTTATAACCCATATTAGGGGACTTATAACCCCACTTATAACTCTCCTAAACCCTAAACCCTATAAGAACCCTTTAAAGGAACCCTCAAAGGCAACCCTATAACCCCGCCTATCACTACCCAACCTCCAAGTGGGAAGGGTTTGCTTGGGGAGATGGGGTTTCGGGCTCGAGGTTGCCTTCGATTTAAGCCTTGGGCCTAAAGCCCTAAGCCCCTAAACCCTAAACCCTAAGCCCCTAAACCCTAAACCCCTAAACCCTAAACCCCTAAGCCCCTAAACCCTAAACCCTAAACCCCTAAACCCTAAACCCTATTGGGCCAATTGGACCCTTAGAGTGCGGTCAGGGTTTATAAGTTGAGGCCTGAAGGTTCATCTAGGGGCCAGGTTTAGAGCTTACATGAGGCTAAATCCTACATCCTAGACCCTAGTAAATGCTGCACCCTTATAAATCCTAAACCCTAAAAACTTAAATTTCAACACAGTGGGTTTGAGAACTGCGGGGGCGGGGGCGAGTGCTCGTGCATTTCAAACCCTGAACCCGAAATGCTCGAAATCCTTGACCATGTAGGGCTTTGGTCCAGGGCTCAGGAGGTTTTCAAGCTGAGATCGGGGCCGGAATAGTTCAGAATAGGGATTCGGGGTAGATTGTACTGGAATTGTGCTCGGGACGAGCAGGCGGTACTGTCATGGGTTTTTCCGACCCCTATGCTAGAAGGGCAATCTTTGCATCTTTGGACAATTGCTGTTTTGGTGTGGGCTTTGGGACGGAGGCCCACACCGATCGGTTCCGTAGGTTAGGGTTGCATTTCTTAGGCTTAAGTAATTGGGATTTTAAGAGGCTGGGTTTAGGGATGGACAAGGGGGTTTTAGAAAATAGGCACCCTAATCTCGTACCCTAAATAGTAGGAGGCCTAAGAATGAGATACCCCAATGAGGTACCACTAACTTTCGGAAACTCCCACAATGGTCTGTCTGTTGAAGCTCAGGGCTCGAGCACGAGAACTGGCTGTCAGGTCTTACAGGATACCCTAACATATAGGGGCCTCAAGAATTAGAATAGGGTTTTGGGGTATATGATATACTATAATAAGGAACCCCCAAAACAGTACTGGTAATTACTTAGGCCTCTATATTACCCTGGCCCTAACCCCCCCATGTCCTCTCAGGCTTGCGCGAAGCTGAGCTTCGTCGTGCTCGAGATGATTTCCTAGGCTGGCACTACACTCTCTGAGAAATACTCACGAAACAAGATCTTATCGGGCCTCGTAGAGGACACTGCAAGTCGGTACAACGTCTCACTGGCCCACCTGGTTTCACTAGGAACGGCAAGAACCCAAGAAACAACAACAAATGTTACGTACCACGAAAGGGGTAACATCACTAATTATTCAGACCCCGCTACACACGTACCCCCCCAAAAAAACTAGACTCTTATGGGAGTTTCCGAAAATAGGGGACCCTAATATAGTACCTTAAGAAGTAGGACCCTTATTAAGGACCCCCAAAATAAGGTGCCCCTAATTTTCGGGAACTCCCAAACCCTAGGCCCTATATAGGACCCTTATAGACTTGTAGATCCCTTTAAGGAACCCTTATGGATCCCATTAAAGGTGCCCAGGTTTCAGACATCAGCACGCCGGCGGTGAAGATCTCAGGAAGGCTGACTTGCGTCTTCTCGAAGGAGACCTGCGCCCTTGGGCCAAAAGCTCTACTTTAACATTGGGGCCTTGTTTAGGGTTTGGGGTTTATAGGGTTTTATGGGTTTAGGGGTTTAGGGTTCAGGGTGTAAGGGTTTAGGATTTATATAAGGTTTTAGGGGTTTAGGGGTTTAAGGTTTAGGGTGTAAGGGTTTAGGGTTTAGGGTTCAGGGGTTTAATTAGGGCAACTAAAAGGGGATGGTATGCCTCTTGTTCCGACTCCTACATCAGGGTTTTGGTATTCTGTTCCTGCCCTCACATTAGGGCCATTAGGGTTGCTAGTGAGTCTTTTCTAGAAGTGCGCAAGCAACGCTGCCTGCGCACACAGAGGTGCTTGTTTCCAGAAGCACGTGCACAGAGACATGTACGTACCAACAAAGCGACTCAACGCGGCTGGACTGGTATGGGCATTCCCTGCAGCCTCAAACCGTACACCTTCCCAATCCCCAAAATCCAAAACCCAACAAACAGCAATCGAACAAAGCCCCAAAGCTCTTGAACACCGAAGCTGTCAAAAAACCTGACGTCCCACGCTCCATGCATCCAAAACCCCAAGCCCAAAGCCCTAAAACCCTCGGCCCGAAGGTCGTATAGTACTTTAAGAGAACCCTTGAAGAACTGATAAAGAAACTCCAGAAAGAACCCGAAGTAATGCCAAAAATAACTAACTATTCCTTAAAAGAGCCGCAGGAAGTTGTCGAGGCTGCTTGATTGTTATTATTACTATTATCGGTATTTGAGGCTCCTTTATGATAATTTTTCTCATTTTTGCACTCACCTGGATTGAACACTCAAAGCCAGGATACAGGCTGCGGCAGCCCCCGAAAAGCTTCCCGAGCCTTCGATCGTCTGCTTAGAGGTTCCTTATTTGGGGGCACCTTTAATGGGATCCATAAGGGTTCCTTAAAGGGATCTATAAGTCTATAAGGGTTCTATAAAGGGCCTAGAGTTTGCCGAAAATTAGGGGCACCTTACTTTGTGGTCCATATAATAAGGATCCTACTATGTAGGGTATTATCTTAGGGTCGCCTATTTTCGGAAACTCCCATCTTGCATTTCCTGCATTTGGAGGTTTTGGGGGTTCGACTTCAGGGCGGTCTTAGGGTCGCCCCACCCTATAACAGTCTGTGTTGGTGGTCATAATAAGGGCTATATAAATATGATCCAACTGTTACCTTAAACTCAACTCTAAACCTAAACCCTAAGCCCTAAACTCAACCCTACACCCAAAACTCAAGCCTACACCCGAAGCCATGGCAGAAAAAACACACTGGCCAACAACAATCCAAGGGTTGAAGGAGGGACCCTTAATAAGGACCCCTAGGTATATACCCTTAATATAGCTATTATATACCCATTATAGAGCCCGTTATAGGGTAGGGGTCCCAATTAAGGGTCCCTCCTTTTACCCTTTGAAAAAAAGAAGCCGGGAAACTCTAGGCACCGGGGCTTTGCGAAAC